TATATATTATTATATATATATATATATATATAGGTTATATATATATATATACATATATATATATAGGGTTATATATATGTGTGAGTGTGTGCGTGTGGGTGGGTGTGTGTGCACGTGTATATGTATATGTGTGTGCTATACATGATATATATATATATATATATATATATATCTGTGTGTGTGTGTATGTGTGCGTGTGTTTTGTGTCGGTGTTTGTGTCTGTGTCTGTGGCTGAGTGTATGTGCCTGTGTCTGTGGCTGAGTGTATATGCCCGTGAATATGTCTGTGTTTGTGTGTATGTATGTATGTATGTATGTACATTTTCATGTGTGGTGGTACATATATCAGTCAATTGCTACACGGGTAGACAGAAAAAAACTATTGTAGCACCTTTTGAACTTAAGAAATATATCTTTGGCTTACTGTAATACCCAGGGGTTCTTTTATGATTCACTTTTATTTGATATGTGTGATGAATTACAAGTAATGGTGACAGAAATCTGACTCTAGATGTAAAAGACGCCCTCTGTACGGATTGCGTTATTGCAAGCACTTTCAGATGATAGTCTCTACGCTCTCAATATTTAAACCACCACCTATATCCGCACATAGCCCTGTGTATATTTAGAAGGCGGCGATTATCCACACTTCCACACCGCACCCACTGCAGTCAGCAGAAGTTCAAATTGTGGATTGCTGTCTAAATTCTAAAAGTTGTCATACTGTCAAAACTTGAAAGTCATCAATTATTATTTTCTCCAATCTGCATACGAACATTCTCTCGGGGGGCGGGCGCTTCCATCCGAAATGAGCGGATCTATTTTTAGAATCAACTTCCGAGTTGTACCGGGCACACTGCAGTGACTGCACCGACTACCGAGAGCGAGTATGAATTGAGAGGTCGGCCGAAAAGTAAAACACATGTCCGAGAAATTCTGGTAATGTGATAATAGTTCCAGCTGGTGCGGACTGCATAGTGGTATCTTCGATATTCTCTGGTTCGCTTATTCCTAGTATATATACGTATACTTTCAATAAGTCAAGACTAGCATATTCACATCAAAACATATTCATTGGTTTTTGTAACTATCCGACCTATCCCTTGTGTTCACAGAAACACATACACCCACCATTCAACACTTTAACAACGAAGAAACTATCGAATATTTCAGTATGGCTGTGCGTGGTCAGTTCGAAAACAGTAATGAAGTCGGAGTTTTCTCCAAGCTCACAAACTCATACTGCCTAGTAGCTCTAGGAGGTAGTGAGAGTTTCTACTCAGTGTTTGAGGGCGAACTAGGGGATATTCCCAACTTTCCGATTATCCACTGCTCCATTGCCGGAACCAGGTATGGTTTTATAAAAGTATGACAGGTATATACTTATGGTCTCGTAAATGTATATGTGTAGCTAACACATATGATCCTTCTTTATGCCTATGTGCGGCAGCTATATATGTGATCGGATGAGTGCAAAAGTGTGACACGTATATATACCTAAATTCAGCATATTGTTGTAATATATATATATGTGTGTGTGTGTGTGTGTGTGTATTTGGATCGCTGCATAATATCTATCTTGCGATGACGTTACGTATTTTAGTCCGTTTCATTGAGAATGTATTTTATAAGTAGACCTTGGACTGCTAGTAGGGGCGAATGTATATGTATATATATATTTATACATGTTTATATCTATGTATATATGTATGTATGTATGTATTTATATGTATATGTATACTTACATATATATATGTATATGTATACTTACATATATATATGTATACTTACATATATATATGTATACTTACATATATATATGTATATGTATCTCTCTCGAACAGCTGAATCATGCACTTTCACGGTGTTTACGACACCTCTTTTGTACGCAAGCGCTACTTTGATAACCAATGCATGTAAAAGGGATAGATGCTTGCAAATGGTTGAGCCTGGACTCGTCCACTTGACGTGTAGATGGCACCAATTATTTGCATATATACTACAGATTACTCCAACTCTGACATAGAATTCAACTTATATTTTGTGTAACCCAAAATAACTTAAGCGTTCGACAGAGTATGTGAGCTAGAACTTGAATTGAAAGGACTGTTCATCGTACATTGTTGCAATTTTGTCTTATATTACAACTGCGTTCATTTCTGTACTAGGGTGGTTTACATTACTTTGTTTGTTTTTATTGCCTTTGCTAGTATACCTTTACCCGAAACGAGCGAGGCTGCACGCTAATTTAGATTTTGTTTTTTTTCGCATATTTAAGCAGACTTTCGTACATCAGACTTAGTTAGAGCTTGCCTGCTGTTTCTTTGTTGTAAACCGAATTACGTGCTCCGTCTACCCGTGGTCTTTCTATGCATATACGCCTAATATAAATATAGTTTAGATATGATTCCCGCATTACTGTTGGGTTCTCTGGTGGTATCACTCGAGTGTGCCAAGCTAGTTTGTATCCGAGTTGTGAGTATCTCAATAGTGCTGCACCTTCATATACTGTATTGTCAGAAAAGTGCTTCTCGATTTTTTCCGTCCAAAGCTTCTCGAATAGCCTCGTGAGATGGCTTAAGTAATTGTGCGCACTACAGAACACTTCATAGTCGCATCGATTGTTGTTAAGTAGGAACTAAATTATTGAGGATTCTGTGTGAGATGTTACACTTACTTACGTGCTTGCTGGGCTATGTAAGTGGATTTTATCCGCACTGACTGTGAAGTGCTGTGACGAAGAATGGAGTAGGGTGTAACGGAGTTTGGAACAGTTGTATGTGTGTACTACTACGATGCATCCTGCTGGTTATTTGTAGGATATTGCCACCAGCTATCAAGGTGTTCCCTCTTATTTAGTGTCGGTTTCCGATTGTATGTTATGATTTTTGGTATGTGTTGACCTTCATTTGTACTAGTTTCTGCATGCATTCATTTCTGTGGGTGTTTCCATACGTATATGATCTACGCCCAGCGATTTGACCATAGACAATATAGTATGGAAATACTCCTTAGTTGAAAGTATTAAGAATTTTTTAACCCACCGTATCTTTGCTATTACACAACGTATTTATATATATATATATATATCTAATATTAGTCTATACATACATCATATTAATATGCCAATCTACATCTCAACAGAATCATCGGCCGATTGTGCGCCGGAAACCGACACGGCCTATTGGTTCCCAGCACAACCACAGACGGCGAGTTGCAGTTCTTAAGGAATTCGCTTCCCGATGGAGTCAAGTTACAGCGTGTGGAGGAACGCCTGTCTGCCTTGGGAAATGTGATTGCTTGTAATGACTATGTGGCACTGGTACACCCGGATCTGGACAGAGAAACAGAGGAGATTATTGCCGATGTGCTTAATGTAGAGGTAAGTGGATGTCAGATAGTTGGCGTAAGTGCGTTTGCGCTCTTGTGGCTGTATGTAATATATATATATGTGTGTGTGTACGTACCTACTTTGTATAATAGCTTGGGTCCGCCCTCTGGACACAACTGGGTAGATGTGTATACTTACAGAAATGGTGGTCCGTGTGTGACTAGGTGGCTGGCAGTAGACTTGGCGCTCATCACACAAGCGAATAGATTTCACGAATAACTTTCTGGGGCTTTTCCATGTGTAGCAGCTCCCCAATCTTGTGCTTGGTAAATGTGTTCTATGTAGAAATCTGAAGTAGTGATACGGAAGAGTGGATGATACCTTCGAGATTGAAACGGTAGCTTTATCAGACTTGATGGGAGCGCAGCGCATGAGTACTTCACACCTCCTTTGGTGTTGGTAGTTGCGTGATGTCTTGATTTCTCTCAAATGGTGCATGTGTGTCTTCGTATTGATAGCTGCGGTTCTGCTGGTGGTCTGCTCTGACTCGGCTTTACATCGCTACTCGTGATGCCATAGAACATCTGCCACTCGTCAATGACCTACCGAGAAGACTATATAGACTGTGCAAGCGTTCGATTCTTTATCCAGATCCGTAATGTGTATCTGTGGCATATATTTATTTTTATGTATCCGCTATATATGGGCAGAAAGTTGGCAGCGTGTTTTCCAACCATGAATACTATTGCGATAGACCTTGTGTATTTTATGTCTAATCATTATTAGGATACCTAAGCCTTGGCTCGTAAGCAGGGCGTATTCCACATTGTTTATTGCTATATACGACATTTGTATCACTGACAGTCCGCTCACCCAACAACTCTCCATGCCCTCTCCGCACGCGCACAGGTATTCAGACAAACAGTAGCCGAGCACGTGCTCGTAGGCAGTTATTGTCAGTTCAGTAATCAGGGCGGTATGGTCCACCCCAGTACCACCGTTCAAGACCTCGAGGAGTTGTCCTCGCTCTTACAAGTACCCTTAGTCGCCGGTACGATCAACCGTGGTAGTGATGTGCTGGGTGCTGGTATGGTAGTCAACGATTGGGTGGCCTTCTGTGGCATGGATACGACGGCCACCGAGCTGTCGGTAGTGGAGAGCATCTACAAACTGAACGACGCCGCTGGACCTGGACGTGTGGCGAATGAGATGAGAGATTCATTAATCGATTCGTATGTCGTTTGTGCTTTGTATTATACCTCCGTGTCTGAGATCATGCATCTCATTGTTGTATGTAGAAACTGTGATGTATATGTGTATGATTATATATATTTATATAAGGTCGTGTGCTAGGACTGCGGCTGCGTTACATCCTAAAATTCGGAACTCTTTAATTCGTACTCGTAAATTGCAGACTTTGCGTTCATAGTCATGCCTACATGTTCCAGTACAATCGAATAAGTCGTTGGGTTGCCATTTTATTTTTATTTTGAGTCATGTGGTGTTGATCCAAGGCTTCATCATTTGCCTATTCACCCCATCAGGATTTGTTGCAGTGTACTAGTGACCTATGCTGTGTCCAGATGCATACGTACCTTCGTTGTAGAATGTTATGCACATGGCTGCTCGCTCTCATTACCTTGGTCCTTCTGCAGCAGAGGGAGGCAGTTTCACGCATGGGTCGTACGTAGTACGTAGTGCGGGCTGACTTCTTCAGACACTTCATATGTATGCTGAAAACCAACTTATTATCGTTTTCTTTTCCTTTTCGCTACCACAGAGTACAACCGTGGACCAACAACCGATAAAAATAGTCATTAAATGGATCTGCTCTAATTTTGTTTGTGGTTTATTGAGCTTCAATACGGACTTGAAAGAGTTCTTCTTCACCCTATTCATATTTTTCTATATATTGACGTTGTACTGCACGTGTTGATTCAAGACTCGGATGCGATTAAATATTTATTTCAACTAGTGGTAAATAAATTGCTAAATAGGATGTACATATTCCTACATGGTTAAATGATTGGATGTAGATTTTCCTACATAGTTTTGATCTCCGGGATCGTATTCTTATGAGATGCTTATTTCAATATAGCCATGCGTTCGAGCTTGTATAGTAAAATAGTAAACCTTCATCTTGCCAAGTCGGAAGTCAGAGCAGCAGCATTGCTCAAGAGCTATCTGAACTTTTAAAATACCCCTCGCGTGTAAGTGTACTTTTATTTTGAAAATTTGACGTGTATTGATTTTCAGTTTTTCTGGCCATATAGTCAGCTTCCTTTTTATCAAGTTGTGTGTTCAGCAAAATTGCTCGAGAGGTAGCTTGGCTTATTCCAAACAAACACCCGTTTATAAATTATATTGATGGGAGTGTATTGCGAGCTTATTCAGTCTCAGCTACTCGTATTAGGCTTCTATCCCCAGCTTTTCGATAGCCAGATCTATGTACAATTCGCGTTGAGCACATTTTACTGTACCGAATCAGGTGTGATTTCAAAATCTCCTAATCGACCCTCGGTCAGTCGAAATAACTCCTCTATTATATTTGTTTTCGAAGCTATATATGCTAACATGGTTCTCTGCAAGCGTTGACGCCCGAGCATAGAATGGTTTCATTACACTTAGTTGAACTCGGATGATATTTAAATTACACTATCTGATCCAGACATCTCCGGGGGTTTATTTACACATGTAATTTTATATATACTAATAATTTGCATCGCTTTCACTTTTAAACGATTTGTTTTCGTGATGGCATTTGTTGCAACCCTCTTTCACGGTAGAATGGAGTGAGCGGCTGACTTACGCCTGCAAAACAAAACAAAATGTGAAAGTGAATACCAAGCAACCATGGAGGGATACGACGAATTCAAGCACGAAATGCATGTGTATATACTTAAAACGATATACGCTTGAAATGTATACCCTGAGAGTGCATACTACTTGGTACTAATTTAACTTACGTCAAAGACGCCATCATCCTTCACAGCTCCGGCAGGAGCGTATGCGCTTAAGCTTTGCGCCAGACTGTCCCAAGTCTTCTTGGCCTCTTCGGCCAGTACATTTAAACGCTCACTGACGCCCAACTTGTCGTCACCGGCTTTAACCTCTTTGTAGAAGCCCTGCAGCCTCTCGCTGAGCCTGTAGAAAAGATTGAAAAGTGTGCAACGAAACGATAAGGAACCACGATGGCACAAACATACAATTAAGAAACACAAGTAACAGATATACGAGTAGATAGGAGAATGCACGTAGATAAAACCATAGTACATAGTCTTCAAGTTGAAGCAACCGTTATACATAGTTGAGGTATATAGCAACATAAATACATAATTAAAGTAATAAGCAACCATCAATGCGTCATTTGACTTACGCATTCACTGAGGTGTTTATCGACTCGGGTACTTTGTATTCCGATGCTGCAGCGGCAGCGCGTTCTCTAAGCGATGCGACTGTGCTGGTCAGATTGTTCTTTATATCTAGAGCTGTTTGACCAGCGGCTGTTGTGCGTAAATCATCCAGCTTAGCAGACGCCGTAGAACTCGCATCCTGTACCGATGACAGCACAAACGCCTGGGTGGATGCAATGGTCTCGGATAAGGTAGCCTTCTGGCGTTCAATGACCTCTACGTAGTGTTTGAGTGTGGGGCTGCTTTCAGGCAGGGATTGTGTGTACTTGTTGGCCTCAGTCACATTGTGCGCCGCTCGCTGGTAGAGCCGGTTGGAAACTTTCTGTGTGATCTGGAAGATCTTGCCAAATCGACCCTGTTCTGTTGCCAGGGCCAGCTCCTTCTCGTCATCGGCTGAGGCGGGGGATAGATAGTAATCCACATTCTCCTCGATAGTCTTCGTTGTATTGTCATACATCTCGGTAGCTCTCTCCCGTGTAGCAGCGGTTGAGTTCGCTACAGTTTGCGCGGTTGTGTTGTAGTATTCACCTGCTGCTTTCTGTGCATCAGCCGCCCTAGCCTGCACTGCCTCAGCTGCAGCTCCAGCCTGTGCCTGTATAGCCCCGACAGCCTCGCCAGCGCGTGCCGAGGTCTCATTGTACTTCTGAGCGGCAAACTCAGAGTTTTCATTGTACTTCTGAGCGGCAAACTCAGATGTTTCCTTATACTTTTGAGCTGCAAACTCTTGTACCTGGGGTGCTTTCTCCTCAAGGAAGTCTAGTTGTGCATTGGCTGTAGGCTCGAGGCGCTGTAGACCGGGCTGGACGTATGGCCAGAAAACCGCTGAACCTTGTGCTAGAAGTCCTTCTCCGGCTTCTAGTGCTCTTCTATGAAACGCAAATGACCATAAAAGCGTATAGATGTAAAAATTATATTGGGTATCTTGCTGTTTACTAAAGACTAGTTTTCGCATTTTGTTTAATTTCACAATTCCATGGCAGACAACCACGACATTCTACGCAATAACAATGGTATGAATACATAGCTCAGCGGTTGCACACAGAACTTACTTGACGTATTGATTTGATTCCTTCGCCTGTGAATAGAGATTCGAAGCAACACCGGTTGCGTTCTGTACAGGCTGGTAGTTGGCCACCCGCTCCACAGGAGTCTGCTGACTTGTTTGCTGTTGCTCTGCCATGATTAATATACAAAAAAATCCTTGCTGTATAAATGGGGTATGCGCAGGTTTGGAAGTTCGCTATATATGTGTAATTATTTTTCAAAAGAGAAGACCGGTTTTACTTTTTGATTTCATCTCTAGAATTAGAGAGTAAAAAAAGTACAGAATTGATGATGAAAATTATGAAATCGTGTTCAGTTGTTGTTGACTCTTTGTTGTGTTTGTTGGATGTTGTTTCGAATTTCGAGCCATTCCCCCCAGTCTCACACAACACTAGTCTGAGACTCTGAGTGTGAGTTGAATCAGTTGTCACTTGACTGTTGACTTGAGTTTTTTCTATATATTTTAAAAAACAAAAATCTAAATAAGTAAATATATGAATACGGACTAGGGTAGTACGGTTTGCTATTTTTTTATACGTTTTTGGGAAAAATAAGTAAAGTAATCTTCTATATGGCCTACTAGCTAATTACATATGAACCTATTTATGTTTCTGATGATTGATGGTCTTTTTTACTTTACAATTTACATTATGTACATATTTGTTTTCGTTTTTGTTATATTTGTGTTTTGAAACGGCTAGGGCAGACCAGAATTCCCTATTTGACAAGAATACTATCCAAATTAAGGATTCGTTTTTTTTAACAATTTATTTTTTAAAAAACCGGCCAATCTTACCTCATCTCACATTATTCGCAGATTTGGAACTGAATCGTTTGATTCTGATTCGTGATCTGCAAATAGACGATATTAAGCTCATTGTATTATTAATAGATAGAAATAACGAGACACGGTTTTTAAACCAACCCGATTCTGGAAAAGAAACTTTTATGGTGACAGGCTGACAGGTCAGCGTAGGTATGCATTGTGTCGACAAATGACACTTGATGTCATGTTGGCATGTCAATAAGCCAGCCCTCGTATAATATAAATATATATAAATACACCTGTGTGAGTGAGTCCAATATGATCGTAGCATCCTATAAATACTTATACTTCATATTCTAGCATATATACGTTATCGATATGAGCCACCAGGCACCAGCTATTACAACACGAAAGTCTAAACGAGCCAATGATAATTCTAAACACTATACCGTCCCAAGGCCCCCAGCTGCCCGTTCCGGAGGGGAGCAGGATGCAGAAGAAGCGGATACAGGTGTTGTACCTTGGCTTTGGGTAGTGCTGTAAACCATGATCTTTATGTTTGTTTATCAGGTTTTTATCGGTATGCGAGAGATTACATTATTTACTACTGCTTATGAAAGCGCACTCAATAGGTTTACATCTCTGTTACATGTATACATGCTTAAGGCATTACAATAGCTATGTATATATATAAATGTGCGTGTGTGTATAAATATATATATATATATATGAATGTATGTATGTATATATGCATGTATACATATATATATATATATATATATATATATATATATATATATATATATATATATATATATATGTATATAAATATATATATGTGTGTGTGTATAAATGTGTGTGTACGTATGTATAATATATATATATATATATATATATATATATCAGTTCATATATATATGATCTTATATATATACGCACATACATATACATAAATTTACTAATATACATATGGTAAATATATATTTATATATATATAAGTGAATTTATTTATATGTATGAGCGTATGTATATATATATCTGTGTGTGTGTGTATGTATGTATGTACGTATATATATCTGTGTGTGTGTGTGTGTGTGTGTATATATACATATATATATATATGTATATAGATATATATATTTTATATTTATATTTATATTTATGTTATTATATATACATATATATATACATATATCTGTGTGTGTGTGTGTGTTTGTATATATATATATGTATGTATGTATATACATATAAATAGATATAATTATATGTACATATATATATATATATATGCCAATTTATATATATATGCATACATATATTTTCTTGAATATATATATATTAAATGTATGTATGTATGTGTGTATGTATGTACATTTTATGTATGTATGCATATATATATATATTAAATGTGTGCATATATATATTTGTTTGTGTGGTTGTGTGTGTGTATCTAAGAATTTTTATATTAATATATATATATATATATTCATGTGTGTGTGTATCTATGTTTGTATGCATGTATATACGTATAAATATAATGACTTCGTATTTATCCATATATATATATTTATGTATATATATGCATACACATAGTATATGTATAGGTACACATATATATATACATATACATATATGTATGTATATATCTATGTATATGCATATATATATAATGACTTTGTATTTATCCATGTATATATATTTATGTATATATATACATATTTATGTATATAAGTATGTATATAATGACTTTGTATTTATCCATGTATATATATTTATGTATATATATGCATATACATAGTATATGTAAATGTATACATATATAAACATAAATATATATATATATACATTTATGTATGTATATGCATATATATTTATATATGTAAGTATATATATGTATGTATGTATACATATATATAAACATAAATATATATATTTATATATGTATGTATATGCATATATATATATATATATATACATATATATATATGTAAGTATATATATATGTATGTATATGCATATATATATATATGTAAGTATATATATATGTATGTATATGCATATATATATATATATATATATACATATTTATATATGTAAGTATATATATATGCATATACATAGTATATGTATACATATATATAAACATATATATATATATATGCATATACATATATGTATGTATATGCATATATATATATATATTTATATATGTAAGTATATATATATATATATACATCTTTATATATTTATGTATATGCATATATATATATACATCTTTATATATGTATGTATATATATGTATATGCATATATATATATATACATATTTATATATATATGCATCTTTATATATGTAAGTATATATATATATTTATGGATATGCATATATATATATATGTGTGTGTATATATATAAATATAACCATATCTATACATATATATATATATGTGTGTGTGCGTGAGTGTATGTATGTATGCATAAGTAGATATATGTATATATATTTAAATATATACTTGTGTCTGTATCCGTGTCTCTTTGTGTGTGTGTGTATTTATATATATATGTCTGTATGTAAGTGTATATATGTATTGTATAATATATATACTATAATATATCTATGTGTATATATACATATATATATACGAGTTTATATATACAATTCTAAATATATATATATATTCATATATAGTATATATGTTTGTATCTGCATATATGTATGTATGTATGTATACTTATATTTTATATTATATGTGTATTATATTGTATATACCATATACATCCATGGTATATCTATATGAATATATAAGAATATATGTATATATATACTTATATGTATAAATATATATATATATATATATATGTAGCAATTTTTATTATTTTTATGTGTATATATATATCTGTCTGTCTATCTTTGTATGTATGTATATATATATGCGTGTGTGTGTGTTTTATATTTTATTAAATTCAAATGTGCTTGCTTGATTTGTTTGCTTTTCACGTAGCTCGTTATGTAGATCTTTGCACGTATATTGTCATTTATGTTTGTGTGTGATTTGAATGATTGTGTTTAATCCATGTACACTTACCTATCGTCATATGCTATGTTGAAATTTCGACTCAAAATCTGTGTTCATATTCTTTTCGCACTGTTTTATCAACTCTGTATGATGCAACTTATATCGACAAAGTAAGCTATACATCGTTTCATTGTAACTTGGTAGCAACCGCAGATTGCATCGGCTAGTCGCAGAGACTAGTACAGTTGATGACTATCTGGTATGGATAGTAAATTTCCGTCATCAAGGGAAATTTCATCGACACCCATATATCAAGATTTCGTCATCGAACAAACAAAACATAGATGCCCGTTGCTATAGCATTGAGTGTTGTGTAGGGGTGCTCCTGTGGCGAGATGGACACCACTATCCACGCCAGGCACCAACATGGACCAATATTGCGCCATAAACACTCGTATTAGTTCTTCTATCCAGATTTTCGATGGTAAGATCTATACGAGGATCAAGTCGGATATAGCTCACTGCAGGCTTTAGGGTACAAATCAGGTGTAATTTTAAAAACCCCTCCTCGGTTCTGGGTAGTTGATCCGTTCCAAATGATCTAATTTTATAAAATGGCATTTGTTACACTTGCTTTTGGATCAGTATCAACATCGGTTGGGCTGTCGATTGGTCATGCTCTTTTGTCAATATTCAAAACATGTTGAGCGATCGTAGTGCTCGGAAAATGATCTTAATTTGGAATTCAAATTGATGTAAACTGTTAACTTCCGATGAGTTGAGAGTTTTCGGAATGTCTTCTTTCCGACATATTGCTGTCTAAATCTACAGTCGAAATAGCTCCTCAATTCGACTTGTTTCCAAAACTATATGTGCTAATATGATACTCTGCAAGCATTGATGTACGAACACTAAAATGGTATCAATAACCCGGTTTCAACTCGAAAGAAATTAAAAAATACACAATCAGATCCAGACGTCTCCGGGGTTTTATTTACATTAAAAATATGACACTGCTTTGACTTTAATCTATCCGTTCCCGCGATGTAATGTATTGTGTCCCTCTTCCATGGTAGAGATGTATTGTGTCCCTCTTCCATGGTAGAGATGTATTGTGTCCCTCTTCCATGGTAGAGATGTATTGTGTCGCTCTTCCATGGTAGAGATGTATTGTGTCCCTCTTCCATGGTAGAGTACATTGGGCAGCTGACTTACTTCTGCAAACCGAAACAAAGTGTTACAGTGAATACCAAGCAACTACGGAGGGGATACGAAGAATTAAAGCACCAAATGCATGTGTATTTGTTTAAAGCGATATACGCATAAAGCGTATAGTTTGAGCGCACATGCTACCTGATACTCCATTCAACTTACGTCAAAGACGCCGTCATCCTTCACAGTTTGAAGGCCTGAAGTGTGTCGCTGAGCCTGTATAAACGATTGAAAGGTTTGTACGCCGCTCTCTGGGCCCTGGCAATAGAAAAGGGTCGATCTGAGAAGATCTTCCACATTACCCAAGAGGTTTCCAACCGACTCTACCAGCGAGCGGCGTACAACCCCTCATACAGGCTCGGCGAAAGGCTACAGGCCTTCAACAAAGAGATCAAAGCTGGCGATGATAAGTCCAAAACTTGGAGTATTATGACGCAAAGCATATGCGGACTCCTCAGGCAAGGTTCAGCGGTTATCTGGCCATATATCCAGCCCAGTCTAAAGGGCATCGGGCCTGCTGCCAATGCGCAACTAAAGTATCTCGAGGAGAAGACGCTTCAAGTACAAGAGTTTGCAACTCAAAAGTATAAGGAAATCTCTGAGTTTGCCGTTCAGAAGTACAATGAGATCTCGGCACAGGCTGGCGAGGCTGTCGAGGCTTTGCAAGCACAGACTGGAGCTGCAGCTGAGGCAGTGCAGGCCATGGCGGCTGGTGCACAACAAGCAGCCGGTAAATCAAATGTGTATTATAATTATCTACCCTTAGCCTGGACCGAAGACGAGGGAAAGCTCTTTCTCGTCTTCGGCTGAGGCTGGGAGTAGATAATAATCCACATTCGCCTCAATAGCCTTCGTTGTATTGTCATACAACTCGGTAGCTCTCTCCGCCACAGTCTGTGCGGTAGTGTTGTAGCAGTCAGCTGCTGCTTTCTTTGCATCAGCCGCCCTGGCCTGCACTGCCTCAGCTGCAGCTCCAGCCTGTGCTTGCATAGCCCCAACAGTTTCGCCAGCGCGTGCCGAGGTCTTATTGTACTTTTGAGCTGCAAACTCTTGTACCTGAGGTGCTTTCTCCCCAAGGTAGTCTAGTTGTGCATTAACTGTAGGCTCGAGGCGCTGTAGACCGGGCTGGACGTATGGCCAGATAACCGCTGAACCTTGCTTGAGGAGTCCTTCGCCGGTTTCTAGGACTCTTCTGTGAAACGCAGATGATTATATATGCGTATAAGTTTGTGTAAATCATATTGGACATCGTGCGGTTTACTAAAGACTAGTTGTCGCATTCACGTTATTTCCACACATACTAGACAACCACAGCATACTACAGAACAGCAATTGGCTTGATGAACACTTGAAAACATAGCTGAGCAACCACAAACGACTTACTTGACATATCGATTCGTCTCTGTCGCCTTTGAATAGAGATTCACGGCTACACCGGTTGCGGTCTGTACCGGCTGGTAGCTGACCACCCGTTCTACAGGGGATTGATGGATTGTTTGCTGTTGATCTGTCATGATAATAAATAATAAGTAAATTTTTGCTGTATAAAAGTTATACTTGTAATGAACAAATTGAAGAATTGAGGTAAATTTTGGTATTTATTACTCTATTTATTATATTTGTATATACGATACGATATCAAAAAAATTACATATTTACACACTCTCCGTAGAGAGGAGCCTAAAATCAAAAATGCCTAGACTATACCAGCAGAGCAGCCAGCTGCCAGCCTTTATACTCTATACTCTATAGTCTTTATGTGGACTATGGATTATGGAATATGCAATATCCTAGTTATAGGCGAGAATTCTTATTTTTGTATATATAAAAAAGGTCGATCTTGACGGATCGGGATCCCACATATTTTGCAGCTCAGATACTAATCTTTCTATTATTATTGGTGGTTCTCTAAAAGTGAATATCAGGCAAGTTGTGTGTCAGGGGTTTTAGCTCCAAAGCCTCCAATGGCAATTTGTGCAATGTGCACTGCCGCTGTGACTTGTGAGCCTGTGAGTGCGGCCATGGCGTTCAGCCATGGGCGCCGCGTATATCGCACTTCTGACTGTAATAAGACAGGACGTCCGGATGTCGTCATAGCGAAGTAGTTTCCGACGGTGTTATCATGTCGTCATAGCGAAAAGTGCTGTCTTATACCAGCCCTATACTTGCCCAGCTGATAAAAGCCTCCCTATTTGCTAAATATTTTTTTAAGGGGCTATCACTATGCAATATGCATATTTAGCCTTCCCTCTGTATGTATATACTCTAAAAAAAAATGAAAAAATAGAAGGCAATGGCGGATTGGCGGTTGCCTATAGGCTTTTTAAAAAACAGATACTTTCAGAAAATAAACTTTTTTTATTTTTTTGGGGTGAAAATCGATAAAAAGCCTTCTATTTATCATTATGACCAGACAAAATTGGCGCCAAACCGATCCCCTTTTTTGGTGGCATATTTTTTTTACAATGTGCGTGTTCACAAGTGTTGACAGGTGCACTTGACGTCACTGAGCAACAGCCGCCCATAAAATATATTGACATATTTACACCTCCTTTATGTTTTAAAACCCACCGGTGTGATTTCACTGATTTGTACAAAAGTTGTTTTATTTGGTGAATTAGGGTATTTCAGTTTTCGATATGAGCCACGAGGTAGCATAACACAAAGGTCTGAACGAGTCAAGGTCTGTAATCCTAATCACTATACATTTGAATGGCCGTCCCAAGGCCCCCAGCTGCCCGTTCCGGAGGGGAGCAAGATGCAGAAGACACAAATACAACTGCTGTTCCTTGGCTTAGGGTAGTACTGCAAACGATGTTCTTTATGTTCGTCTATCAGTTTTTTATCGGTAAGTGAGAATATTGCTACATCAAACTGCTTGTGATAATGTACTTAATTGGCTCACCTCTTTGTTACACTACGATAGCTATATATATA